TAATTATGCCTCGTCAGTAACCACATGCGGATTCAGGGTATTTGCTAGTCGGGCACTGCCGACTAGAGCACACTTGTTTTTATATTTGCGTTGAAATTGTTTTCATCATGATTTCGTAATGCTAATTGGATGTTTACGTTTTTGCAATTACACAATTTAATACATAAATAATTTAAATCAATTTTGGGACTCAAATTAATATATATATATACAGATATATATAATCTAGATCTAGTTTAATGAGTCTCTACGGTCGAACCGCACACACATTCGTATGAAACATTTTGCTAAGAATTCTAATTGACATACATACATGCTTATGGTCAACATACATCATTCATCATACATCTAGCATTTACATACATACATACACACATCTATATATATTTATATATAATGTATACAAATACATACATACTTACATCATGATCCATGAAATCGTCATCTAGTCATTTTACAAATTATTATATATTATTATATGTCAGCATATATAAATAAATATATGTATTTTTATAACTATAAAAAAACACCAATTTAATGTTAAATGTCGTTACAATTAAGTTGATAAGTTTTAGCAAACGTTTTAAGCATTTTACAAAACAAAAACAAAAATGAAATGAAAAAACTAAACATTTTACCATTGATTTTGAACTAACTCTCTGCTAAATGGAGGAAGAGGAGGAAACAAGTTGAATTTTTAAATAAACATAGTATACAGGGTGTTGCTAAATGGCTTTACATACATACATAGACACAAACACATACACATACACATACACCTACACGGACACACACATAAATATATATACACACATGTTCACAGACACCGACTCTGTTAATGGACACAGACACACACACACACACACACACAAACACAAACACATGTTTTCTATACATACAGTTATTTCTGATCTAAATAAAAGAAAAATAAAACAACAAAAACAAATCTTAGTTAAAGCATTTTTCGCTCAAATTTAGTTTATGAAAGTTTGTTAAGCAAAAGAAAAAAAGAAAAAGTAAGAAATACAAAAAAAAATAGATATATATATATACTCATATATATATATGGACTAATGGACTGAAAGGTAAATAATATATCAATGAAAGTGTAGAGATGGGTTGGCATTAAATAAAAAGTATATAAAAAAACAATATAAAAAGAAAAACAAAAATAAATGTGTAACTTTGAGTGTTGCCCGCGCTCTTTGGCTGTTTCGGGAAATTGTTAAATTTATGTTAATCAGTTAAGAAAACAAAACAAAGATATAAGACGAAGAGGAGGAAGAAGAAGAAGAAGATAAATACACACACACACCCACCAAGGCATACTATATGCACACTGTTTCATATAAAATGCATATAGTAATACATATACTACATCTCTTTCCAACTCTCTCTCCCTCTATATATATTTTGAATAATTTGTGTTTTTTGATTTAGACTTAGACTTTGTTTTGCGAACTACTACAACTGCCAGTTGAGCTCCCTATTACACTAACACACGCACACACTCACACAGTACAGTGAACACCCTGCATATGCAACATATGAAAACCAAATATATATACCATACACAACAACAACAACAACAACAACAACAACAGCCCACATCAATAAGTACTAAACCTAACGCATATGAAAGGCATTTACTTGGAATAAACATAAATACATACAAACATACATACATATATTTTTATGTATTCATTTTTTTATTAAAAAAAAAAACAAAAGGAAAGCGAAAACAAACATTAAATACATATATACATGAATATATATATACACATATATATAATCGTAATTGTAATCGTAATCGTCATCGTCATCGTCATCGAATACCGATGTCATAAATGTGAACGTTATTAGTAACTCATTAAAAACTATTATTACTACGATTATAATTGTATATGCCTAAATGAAACTATATTGAAAAAAAAACACGAAGCAGTTGAACACTCATTATTGTAATCTGTAAGTGGGAGGCAACTCGAATAACGGTTAAAAGAGGAAGAAATGCTAAAATATATACAAATATTTTTATACACCAATAAAACGAAGAAAACAACAACTGAAATGACGAATGAAAATCTCATTTGTATGCATTTGATTAATATTATTGTGTACTCGAATAACAGCAAAAAACAAAAAAAAAAAAAATATACAAAAAAAAAAAAACAAAAATTTAAATTAAAAAACCAAACTACAACCAAACAGAACTTGAAGCAAAAATAAGTCTTTTAAATGCTTAGGGGCCACAATTTTCGAAGTACATAAATTAAAAATGAAATTATTATTATTATATTATATTATTATTATATATTGTATTAATTAACATTTAAAAAATGTTGTGTAACAGTAAAAATAAATGACAAAAAAAACCAAAAAAAAAAACAACAAAAGCAGCAACAATTGTACTGTAAGAATTTCTATTTCCATCACCAAAAAAAAAAAAACAAAAAGAGAAAAACAAAAAAATAACTATTAAAAATTAAAAATAAATAATTTTGTTTTTAATAAATCAAGAATTGTTTTATTGGAGGGGAAAAGAAGATTACAGCTTTGACTGTTTTCAGCATAAGTAAGTTCCTATCATATCTATTTTAGCTGCAGGTTTAACCCAGCGTATATCTTGCAACTGGAAGATATCCCGAAATCTGCTCAGAGCAGCAGTTTCAGTCGTTCAAATTTTGTTTAAGGTTTTACTTGATTTATTAAATATATTTTATGCTTAGAGTATTTTCATAAAGTCATCTAACTACTCTAAATGACCGGTCTAAGATGCATTATCGTACGACGGATTTGTACCAATTATTCGAAGGTAATTATTAGGCAGCTCGCAACTATTTCAGCATTTTCCGGGTCCTCCCAACTCGTGCACATAAATCAAAATCAGTAAAAAATCAGTTTATCTTACAAATACAAATGCTATGGAGCGTGCTCCGATTAACGCTGTTCCTAAGCTTGAATTTTTTAGGTTAACCTGGCTAAAACCTCGTTCTATTTCTGCATTTGGGTACAGCAAGCAAGCTCTAAGAATCGTAGGTTGTCAATTGAATGTTTCTAAAGGTGTAGTTCTTTCCAAAAGTTGGTCGTGTCTTGCACATTTCCCATTCATCACTTTTCAGCCAAGCAGTACGGCAACCTTTTTCTTGTGTGTGAATATTGCCATTTAGAGATGACATTTTGCCTTAAGTTAGAGGTGACAGGAAAATATCGATATAAGAATGACAGAGCTAACCATTTTTTTAGAGCAATGTTGGCAAACTAAAAGTTAATATGTCTTATAGTTAATATGTATTTCTAAAAAAATCCTGATTTCTCGCTATTTGCAATTTAAAAATTTGTTCAGCATTTGGTTTTGAAAAGAAATCTGATTTGACGGAAAAAAATAGTAATTGCTTACGAGCAGCGACTGTGTGTGGGCTCTCCTACAGGAAGCTAATTCTAGAATAACTTTTCTAGATCTTTTCAGAACGTAGAAATCACAAATGTGTGCATTTGTCGCTGCCTAAGCGTCAAAGACCTATATTAAATTTCAATTATTTAATTTTTGTGGTATTCAAGCTCGAGACATTTAAGTTATCGATATTATAAGTTATCGGGAAGGAATGTTAGTATGAATATTTGTGAAATTTTAAGCGTTTAGTCTAGTTAAGGAACACTTGCACTTGTCTTGTGCATGGTGTTTTGTGCCCTGCCCAGGATATCTAAGAGTCGATCAATTTTTCACATATATTTTTAACAATTGATAATTTGGCATATGTTAAAATGCTGCTGCTGTTGTCATCGTTTCTATTTCGTCACTTCCTTTCGAAATTAGAGCAAATGCAGCCCGAAGAAAGAGTATTTGTAGTTCAGGTCGCCGATGGCTCCGTTGCAACAAGCCGGCCCAGTCCAACAAGGGCCACAGGGTCCCGCGCATTGGGTTCGATAGCAGCTGTAGCTACAATCGACTAGGCAGCATTGCACGCAGGGTGTCTCCCGGTAGAAGCGACTTTGGCAGCACATAATGGCTCAGAACCCTGCGGAGGGAATCAGAATAGACATTCTAGGCGCGAATTAATTTTTATGGCTACTTACTAATTCTGCCTAATCGATGCTATTAATCAAAAGTTAAGTCCAGCCTATCGGCTCAAAATATAGGTTGAAACTGGCAATTGCTACAGCCGTTGGGCGAACGTGTTGTGTGTTAAGGCAAGGCCTATTGACACATTATATTATGTGTTGTTTGTATACGTTTAGGGTACTTTTAGCCTTTTATAAACTATAAAAACTGAATTTCCATAACTTTGATATCAATGCAACCCATTGGGATATGTTCTTTGCCCTCTAAAGACTAACACAAATCTATCGATTAATTAAGGATATTTGTGGAGAACTCAGGATATTTGGTTTGAATTGTTAAGGCGATGTGAAATTCCGATTGAAGTCATCTATTCGCATACTGTGCATCCAATTGAGAATGGGAATTGTTGCTAAAATGGTTTAGCTAAATTATTTGTTGCAGTTAGAACTAGGCTTCTGCATATTCTTGATCAGCATCAACAGCCAAGTCGATCTAGTTTTGTACGTCTGTATGTTCTTCGGGCGGTCATCCACCCGCCTGTAAGTTCGTATGTGCAAACGTATGGATCTCGAAACCTATAAGAATTCAAAATTTCAAATGCGCAGATTAAGTTCTTTTTGGCATACTTATTAACTGACTCAAAATCATTTAAGACGATATTAGAACTTATATAATCAAAACTTGTATCGAGGTAGGAGTAAGCAAATTTGGAGCCAGGAGTAAGCAAATTTTACATTTACATTTTACATTTCAAAGTACAATTCAAAGTAACGAAGGCCTTTAAGGTAAACATTCACAAGTTCTAACTCTCTAGCCGTACTCTTTCACAACAAGGCCGAGAATAAAAGTAATATTTCTGATTCATTCAACAGACAAGAAACGGTATGAACTTTGTATCAATTTCGTCTTTATTGTTTATGTATCGTAACACAGAATATCCGTTTATTTTTTTTTGGTTTTACATCAATTTTGTTGACGCATTTGTAAGCCAATATTAATCTTGCTGGCCGTTCCAGACCGGAGTAGTCTGATCCACTGGCTCCTCGGACGCCAGAAGCCTGCGCCACGGGCCGTCAGGTCTGCCGTCGTTTAACAGCCACAGCAAAATGAACATTGCAAATACGCCGGAGTGCACGGCGAAAAACACATCTCAACACAACAGGCTTGACAACATGGTCCGCCACAAGGTGGGCCACAGAATGAACACCAGCCGGCCGGACCGCAGCACATATTCTGCCAGTAAATATATAGTTTCGTCGATTAAGCCTGTGACATGCCGCAGGGCAATACTCACTTTTAAAAATTAGTTGAATTAGTGAGCTTCTTTGGGCAAAATCGGAACAAAGTTATTTGCTGAAATTTGGTTAAACGACCCGTGTGCTGAGCGGCTTTCGGAGAAAAACACCTAACAAAAAATAATGTAAGTTTTTAACACAACTCTATGTGTTTACTACACGAATTTTGAACCAAATCTGAGGATCTCGGCGAGAATTTCTCCAGCCTAGCTAAAAATGAAAGCATTTTTTCAAGGCCTGCCTTGATTTTTATTTAAGTTTTCAATTTTCACATTAGCTTGGGCGTAGCTTCATTTAACAAGGTGAAAGTTTTTGGACTGACGCTTGCTGTCATAGGCACTCATCCGTCTAGTTTAGGCTCCAGTCTCTTTTTCGGAATCAAACAATGTCTCGGCGATAGTTAAATAAATACCTTCAGATACGATACGATAACTATTAACCTTTGTTAGTATCTCTTCATGTATTCTATAAACGTCTTTTTACTTTTAGGTTTTAGCACGTTAGAAACCATTAACTCCAGTATAGCAAGAAATATAGAAGCAGATTAACCGCGTTTTAAATCAAAATTCGTGGAATCAGTTAATCTTGATAAGTATATCATTCTGGTATTGCTATGAATGGTAAATAGTATCACCAAATAATTACATATTTGTATTTTAATATCTTATTATGAACATAGTTTATACTACAGTTTTCTAGCTAATTAGCTAATAGCGAACATTAGGTAATTACATATTTGTATTCTAAAATCATGAAAACTATTTACACTAAAGTTTTCTAGCATTACCTAAAGTCTAACCTTAGCCAATTAAGCAATTGTATTTGAAAATAGTATTATGAAAAATATTCATATTGTAGGTTTACAGATTAATATATTTATTGATTAGCTATCATAATTGATTTTTGCATCTCTCTCATTTTTTTAAACATATTGCATTACGGCTATGTGTTGATACAAATTTACATATTTCCTCTGTTATGTGCGTTGCAATCTGGCAATTGTGTGTTGTCAAGTCAGGGCCGAAATGTTATACCACCAAGATATCCAAAAATACTGACGGTTCGCTGGACTCCAGTGCCCAAAACATTCTTAACGACATGCCTAATAGCCTTTAATGACTTCATTAACTTCGACATGTCGGTACAACTAGGAAAGGATTGGTTGATTTTTATGATAGCATTTAAGAGACATATCAATCAATATACGAACCACTCAATTGCCACTCAATGCCCAGAGAAAATTGAAAATTTTAGGAATATTTCATAACATCCACAAAATCGAATGATGTTTGTATATTAGGATCAAAATAACGAAAAAGCACAGTCTACTCGGATTTACTTCACATTAATATTTCCAGAGATGTATGACAAGAATAGATGTATGCCTAAGCTGTGATCTTAGCGCCATTCGATAGCGGGCTCCAGTGACGATAGTCTACCTGTGTAGCAGCTTCGTACTCCTGCACCAAGCAGTCAACCGTATCGCGTGCCGAATCCAGTTCGGTCAAATCATCCTGGAACATGGGTTCCCGGCGAAACTGATCCAGAAAGGCATTGCGCTTCTTTAGCTTGTCGTACTGTGCCAGTGCACGATTAAAAAGAGCACTCACGCCCGTATGATTGGCCATCATCAGGCCGGATACTTTGTGCGCCGTCTGAACGTAGGGCGAGCTGCGTGACAGTGCCACCTGAATGCTAGCCGGACCCCACGGTATAAACTGGGCCAATTTGCGCTCACGTATGCGCTGCAATGACTTGTGCACTTGTGTGGGATCCACCTCGCCCTGTATAATGTTTAATATCGAAATATAACAGTGCCGCTTGTCAGCGGTCGAGGAGACCATCATATTTTTTGGCTGCAGCAGGCGGCGCATCACATCCAAAACAGTTGTCTTGCGCACATTTGTCTTGGTCTGTAAATGGCCAAAAGGATAAATGCTAATTGGAAAGGAGTCTTAATTTTATTCAATTATATCCTCACCTCATAATCTGTGATCAACGGAGTGTATCCTGTCATAAGAAAGTGAAGCTGGGGAGTAGGAATTAACGGGGCTGTCAGCCCAATCAGATTATTGTTCATGTAAGAGGGATAGCGCAAGGTGGTGGTGCTAACGCTCATGATTGTAGACACCAGATTGTTGATCTGCGTGAATGTGGGTGTTTGTATATGCAAGCGCTCAGTGGCAATGCGATTCAGGGCTGTGTTATCCAGCACCACGACGCAGTCGGCGCACTTCGTAAGCCGCTTTAGAGTAAGTATTGAATTGTAGGGCTGCACAACAACGTCGCTTATCTCGTCCTGGTTGGGAAACACGCTGTACGTTTGAATAAGCTTTTTTGGAAAACGATCGGATAGACGCTCGAGCACGTATGAACCCATGCCAGAGCCCGTACCGCCAGCTATGGAGTGACAGAGTACAAATCCCTCCAGTGAATCACTGCCATCGGCTTCACGATCAATTATATCGAACACCTCTTCCTGCACCTTTTCGCCTTGGCTAAAGCCAGAAGCCCAGTTATTGCCAGCGCCGCCGCCATGCTTGGATAAGTACACGTTCTCCGGATTGTAGAGCTGTGAATTGCAAGTTTCAATTGGTTTAATATTTTTTTTTCTATTTTTACATTTACCTTGGCATACGGCGATGTCATGATGTTGTGAATGACGCGTGGCTCCAGGTCTAGTAACACGGCACGTGGAATATAATGATTATCATCCGCCTGATAGAAAAATACATCTTTTCTATCGTGCCCATCGGCTGCAAAGTCTTCGAGCACCCCATCCGGGGAAATGCCATGCTCCAGACAAAGACGTTTCCAAAATTCAAATCCAACTGTTGAGTTTCATTCGAAAATTAGAGCTTAAGATACATTTATAATTAACTTACTCTGATTGCCGCATTGGCCTAATTGTAACGTAATTATTTCACTTGGCATTATTTATATTTACTTTTTTTCCTGTTCTGAGTAAAATATTGAATATAACGGTGCTTGGCGCCATGTCTTAAAAGTATCTGGCGTTGCCACCTAATAAAAAATCAATGTTTTAATATTACTATTAGATAGTTCCACTGTTTTGTTGGAAGTTAGATTACAAAACAATATGTGTAAATTTATTAAAAGTCATTACATGACATTTTTCAGCATTGCGATTCTAGTGAACCATTTACCGTTCAGTTAAATATGTCTATATGGTCACCCTTCACAGCTGATAGTCGCGTTGCCAACTTTTGCGCGGTGCTTATTGATTTTTCGTGTGCTTCGCTACAAATTGATAGCAATGTTGTAAAGGCGACAATATTTTTAAATAATTAAATTAAAATTACCATGTTGCGTCAAGAGAACTTGGCTGCAAACTTCTGTGGCCTACTTGCGGCCCAAGGCTACAAAGGCAAGTGTTTTGGCACCCATAAAAAGCTTTTAAATAATTCCAATCATTATGTTATATGTTCTCATACAGAGAAGTCGAATGAGTGGCGAATTTTGGGCCAGGAGCAGGACGGCTCGCTGCTAACTTCATGGATATTCGAGGACTTGGATGAGCCTAGTAAGCGTGAAACGTGCATCGGTCACTTTCATGCCACCAAAAAGCAGGTACGGGTGCTTTGGACTCTGCCAGGCTGTGTCGAAATTATCCAGGCGAGCATCAACAGCAGCATTACTTTGTTGTCTTACGTGGTCAAAGCATCGCTGCGCTATCAGGCCTTTATTGTGGAAGTGCGAAGTAGTGAGGGTGGGACTCCCACATGCCTCACGGCTGAGCCATCCACTCGTCAGATTATGACGCAGTTCCTTTGGCGAGTGGAGAGCGCTACGCGCACTTACTGGCAGGACAAGCTTTTGGTGCTCACACACGAAGACTGTGAGTGTTCAGTAAATACACGTTAATCTTGTAATAATGAATATTTCAGCTATTAAGCAGTACAGCTGCACGGTTAAACAAAGCTCTACGACTTCTCAAACTGGCAGTGCAGAGGGCAGCGCATGGCGCTTGGACGTCAGCATATTAACCCATGAGACTTTGGCCAAGAACTTTAGCTGGGCGCAGTGGGATGCTGAGTGTCAAGCACTCTACTACATACACCTCAAGCCAAAGGCCGTAAGTCTCAGTTTGCTCGACGAACGGGAGCAGATAGGCGAACAGGCTGCGCCGGTGCTCAGTCCCACGCTGTCTGCATTTCAGTTCAACGAAAAACAACCGACGGAAACAGTTGTAAGTATGAACTAGACGAAAGGGAAATGGGTCTTTCATTAAACTTTTTGCTTTCATATTCGATAGCTAAACATTCCACTCAATTTGCCAAAACTGCCCGCGAATGCCGCAGAGGAAGCGCCCAGCTACGATGACGATGCTGTGCCATTGCGCGTACACGACAGTTCACTGAATCTGATCATCCTGGCCGATAGCTCGGGTATGTTCTTCGTGTGCCACTATTATCTCTACCAGCCTATGCAACCTCAGCATGCGCAGGAAAATAAGACCACTAAGCAGCAGCAGCAGGATGTTCACTTCGCCTACTCCGTGTCTCTGTTGCATCACGGCTGTGTGGTGCACTGTGTCATGCCGGGCGTGCCCTGGAACAAAGCGCGCCTGCTGCGCCCAACCTTTGCGCTTCAGGGCTCGCATCATCTGTTGGTTTCATCGGCTATCTTTGTGCATCTGCTCGATGTGGGACTGCAACACGAGCCCACATGCCATATTGTTTGCCCGGCTATAATCAATCGAGGTCCCGATGTAACGCACCTGGTGCCGCTGCGCAAGTGGGGCGCATTAGCCTTTGATGCTGCTACTTTAGACTTGGTTTCATTGAGTGTGCCAAAGGCACATCTAATTGAAACATTCCGCAATGATAACTCGCTGGATAACCGCATCAGCATTATACATTACTTTCTGATCCATTCCACTGACATGGATGTTTTGGCCGAGCTGCTGAGCAGCATATTGGAGCGACCTCTTTCGCTGGACACCGTTGCACTATTGAAGGAGGCGCTCATTGCTGGTAGCTATGCAGCAGCAGTGCGCGGATTGCCCGATGAGGCAAAACCACTGATGCGTCTGCTTCCCCTTACCACGGCGATTGCCACGCGGCCTATTCAAGCACGGGTTGCAGACATCAACGTGGGCCTATCGCACGAGGCGCTGCACAATACTAGCATGATGCTTCTCTCGCCGCAGCAGCGTCTGTCTCCATATCGTACGGACATTTGGACACGACTGTGGGAGCTACTTAACGAGTCTGCCAAGCAGGAGCAACCACGATTTGCGGCCGAGCAGGTGACAGAGAAGCTGATCTTTAGTCTGGCTTGCTACCAGCCGGAGGCACTTTCCCGCTGCACGACACCCATGACACCGGACGCAGGCAGCGGTGGCTTTGGCGACTACAGCAGTGGCAGCGCCTTTCCCTTCAGCAACGAAGTGCTGCCCTTCATTGAGCTCGAGGGTTGCACGGCCAGCAAGCAGGAGCACGTGCTATCCGTTGTACGTTCTACAGAACAGATTTAAGTTAGAGGAACTCGTACATTAATATTGTCCTTTCCTTTTAGTATCTTCGGGAGCTTAGCGTGCATCTGGTCAAGCATTCGTCAAAACCGCATTCGGGGTTCCGCTGGCTGAAGGAAACCTTTTTTGAGCGTTCGCAGGCTCCAGCCCATGTGCATGCAGTTGCTTCGCAATTTGTTTCCGCTCAGTTGGAGCTGTCACGTGCGCTTTGCTCGCTGGTTTGTCGGGCTGCCGGCTTGGATGCGCGCTTGGAGACATTGCGTGGCTTTCAACTGATGTATGTTGTATATTTACATAGACCCCAACCATATTCATAAATGTTTTTCTTCTGTTTTAGCGACCAGATGTCCAGCAATCAGCAACACTCGCTATTTTTGATACTGGAACGTTATTGTTTGGCCGTGGAATCGATTGCCTTTCCGCTGCCCGAAGGCTTCTCATCGTTCTTCACGTACTTAGGCTATCGAGCCCTGGACTATGACATGTTTTTGCAATACGTGGAGAATCATGTGTTCGAGCTGCAAGTCGATGTCATGAAGACAATTGTCTACGGTGTGTTTTTAAAGTATAATTCTATCAATGATCTTGAAAATAATCTCAGGTTTTTACTTGCAGATATCGAGGACACGCCGCAGGGCGTCGAGCGCAAGCTGTCGCTGCTCTCGGCTCTGCCAAAACAACGTGCTCAACGTTTGTTAAAATGCTGGCAGCATCCAGAGAGCCTTATGATACGCGGTCGAGAACATGCGGCCAATATTTTATCGGGTCAGCATCAGGAACCGGCACAGCGAAGCGGATCTGGTGGCGTTTCGCAATCACGAATGCATACCAGAACCGGTAGGAAGCGACTTTATTTACTTTATCATTTGCATTATCTAGTTTAACTCATTTTAATTTGCACTCTGTCATCCTACACCTGGTCTAGCACTGGGCAAGCCCACAACCGTCGTTTGTCACTCGTTGCTTTTGGGTTTTTTTCTTATAATTTTAACCACAGCCATTTTAAGCATTGCACGCTTCATGCTTGTGCAGCGAGCCGCCATTTGGTAATCACTTAGTTAGCCACAACCCGTCCCGATCGTCTTCTGGTTGGTAAGCTGCGCACCTATTTGTGTCTGTCAGTCTGTGGCTTTGTCGTTAATTGTATTTACTGAATGGCCTCTATAAAAGTCTAAATTAAACTTGGTTCCTCCTTTTCTTTACAGATCTCACGGCGGAAACGCTGTCGCCGCTGGACTCCTTTCTCGACCTGCTTACGGCTAAGGCGAGCCTCAACGAATTGGATTACAATTTGCTAATAGAAACGACGCTAAGCTCTATCGATCAGCTAAAAGTCAAAGATTAGTCACTTAAGAGCATAATTTATGTAGGCCAAATTAGTGTGTCAACTGTGTAAAAGTATTTAAAAGTATTTAAAGTATCCTAAAATACTATTGTGTAGTCAGCATAGATGTATGTATGTGTGTACGAGCCCCTACCTAAAGGAGTATGAGTGTCCAAATTATATATATTTACTATATATATTATCATTATAATTTATAGCTTATACTCAGTGAGTCTCTGTGAGTCTCTGTTTCTAATTTAAGTAAACAATGCAGCTAATTTAGTGATCAATTCATAACTTATACAAATAAAATACGTATATTCTGAATTGCAGTATTTATTATGATTTAAACAAATACTTAAAGTATTTTAACTGTAGAAAAAGTATATTAGTTTAAGGGGTAATATTTACAATGGAATAGCCCCTTACAGATAGATGACTGTAAACTGTTATATTGACGCTTTAGTACCAAATATTTACGTAAGGTGGCGCAATATCATCCACAAGTAAGTTGAGTTAACATTAATATTTGTATTTTGTTTTGCTATAAATAAAAATAAAACTAAAAATTAAAAAAAAAAATACCTAAATACTATTCTTTTACTTTGAAATTTTCCTTCTTTAATCAGCAAAAATGTGTCAATGTCAGAAGTTTAACAGAAGTGTAACAGGCTTGTAATGCTCTAATTGAGTTCGAAAATTCGAAAACAGCTGGGAGAGCGGCTCTGTTGCTTGAATCTCGAATGTGCAGAACAGCAGCAGCCACTGTTAATTTTAGAATCTGTACAGATTAACATAACAGTGCGCGTCAATAACAGAGTCTGTTAAAAGTATCTGAAAGATACTTTAGCAATAGCATTGTTTTGTTTATCCAGTTGACAGTTTGTGGAAAATCGTCACGGTGCGCGCATCAACGAAAATTCGTCGCGGAAAACCAAACAACCCAACAGGCATCAATTTTGTCTTGGCTCTTAAGCAGAGCCACGCACGTCTAGGTGTTAATTCCAATTGGAATATGCGCGTCTGAGTCTTCCGCGAGGCAAAGTGCCAAAAACGCACTGTGAAATATTGCAAAGGCAAAATGCGCGCCACATTCTAAGATTCAAAAAATTGTATTCGGCAAGTGTTTAACAATAGCAAAATTGCTCTGCCAGTGCCAATCAAACAAGCCATAAAAAGCGAAGTAAACAATTAACAAGCAATTATTAATAAAACAATTAAAACCTGACTTACAAAGCCAACAATGCCAGCCATGGAGCAGAACTTTAAAGGCCTCTTCACAATCGGATTATTTCTGGCTCTGCTTAGCGGCGGCCAAACGCATTTGAATATATTTCTGAACCTGCACGAGGTGCTGCGACTAATCGGTGAGTGCCTGGCCCCCTTCGGATACATGAATAGTTTTATGAATTTAATGAATGCGAAATTAATTGTCTATCTAATATCAATTAGATGTAAACTTTGTTGCTTCAACTATTTCGAAATTAAATCGTATTTAAACTGCGGAAAAAAAAGAATTTTCGATAGTGATGCAAGCTGCGATTGGGTATTAAATGAATTTGAATTAAAATTAAATTTTATTCATTTGATATTCATATTGTTTGTTATAAATCTATTTAGCTCTTTATTTAATTATATTTTGGTGCTTCAAAGTGAATGATATATTAATTGATAAATGTATTTTTGAAAATTTATGCTTTTATTCAAGTTTGTGTTTCTTATATTGTAGAACTGCGCTTAAGTGCTTAGAGACAGATATCTCCTTTATTTGAGGGCCTTCCTTTTATGTCATGTGTTGTCAGCTCACAAATCAACAGGAATATCGTATATATAGGATATTTAGATAACCAAGATTTACTTTGCTTTATGAATAAGAAAAAAGGCATAAAAACCGAAAGTGTTTTACGAGGTGCTGCCAAAAAATGCAGTAAAAACCCTTTTCATATATACATATATATAAAATAAATAAATCTATGTTGGAGAATCATAAAACACATGCAAAGGGCGAGATATGGTTGAATTATCAGAAATTATGTTGTAAAATTTACAACTCGCAGCTTGCTGGGCTGCCTATGCAAACAGGTCGAGTGATTGATGGTAGCTGGCTGTATGTAGGTGGCATATTGGTCTGTCTCTCTCTCTGTGTGTGTGTGTTTGTATGGGATCGGGCAACAAATCGCGTCAGTTCTGAATAACTGGGTAAATATTGGGACGAGTGCGAGTGCGAGTGCTAATCAGGCGCTTATCTGGCAGCTATCGCCGTGCGGTACTCGTCGTAATTCATGTTTGGGATTTCAGTTGTTGGTGTCGGTCGAGTTATCGGAGCGCCGGACAATCAATCAGGTTGCTGCAGTGCATCGCGCTGGTTGCCAATTGGCAAGCTCGGGTGATCGATCCATCAACTGGTATGGAAATTTATTAGTTGTGTCAGCCGCGTGTCAAACAAAGTCAAATTTTAAGCCACTAATCGATTCGCCTGCAGTGTGAGTGCGTGCGCGTGTATGGGTGGCTATTGTTTTGCCTTGCAATTGCAACTTGCCCCATTGATGAGTGCTGGCTGGGCACCCTCCTTCAATTATCCAGCGCTGACAGCAGGTTGCATGCCTGACCTACTTTTGGCTACCTTTTCGGGCGGCCCTGCCTCTCCCTCTGTGGTAGGTGTCATTTTTTAGCGGTTTGTTCAAAAGCTTGACTCCAATACAAAAGTCCATGAGTGTGTGTGTGTGTGTGAGCTGTCTTTGTATGCATGCGTGTACATCAATTAAATTGTCAGACCACATGAAAAAAAGAAGAAAAAAACACGACAGCTCCTGCATTTGGTGCTCGTTAGCTTACGCTTGTGGATCGGACCGAGCTGGGGAGCTGCAGTAACTATTGGTGAAGTGGGCTAAAGGACGCTCACAACCAAATTGCAGCTCTGGCCAAAGTCTACACACACCAGACACACACACACACACACGCACATATATAAACGATGTCAGGGACTGGCACAGTGCTGCGGTAGCTCGTTAACGGAATGAGCGACACGTAGAATCTTTAATGGGTTTGCAGCTTAAATGAGGCACCGCCAACCAGAGCATAAATAAATGCTCCTTGGTGCAACAGAGAGCAGAGAGCAGAGAGCAGTGACTGTGGCCACACAGTAATTAGTGATCACCAAAATAATAGCGCCATTTGCTAGTGATAAAACGAAGGACTGCGATGCAAGAGACTGAACTGTGACAAAAATTGGCTAAAGTCTTCAGTTTATACAGAAATTATTGTGTATCTGGCACTATATCATGTTAGGTTAACTGCTTTGAAGCTTGGCATTGCTTGTGCTTTAAATTTTCATTGAAAAGAATTAATTTCAATATCTGTTGCAAACTAATAATTTTAATATCCAAAGCCAACATTCAATTTAGACTAATGAACGATGTTGATTTGAATAAAAAATATCAATTTTGAGCTGATTTAGTTAGTAACTAATTTCCATCAATTCAACAATAATTGTTGCTCAATTTGGGCAGCAAACATATCTCTGCTGCACTTTGCATTGCTAAGAGCAAATGTGTCAATTAGATTTGATATGAGCCGTCTGCAACTAGTGAAGCTACAGGTCATAGGCACATTTCCATTATGAAGCCGAACTTTTATGCAAATAAAATGCTGTTAGAGAAAATAATAAATATATGCATAGCGTGTTTTTAAGCATAATAAATCAGCCCACAATCAAAACGCAGCAGACCTTAAAATGAAATGAAAATAAAAATATCGAAAATCCTTTTATGATCGAACAAGCTTCATGGGTCGCTTAGTGCCTGTCTCGAGCTGTGCATATCCCTTGCCATTTGCGAATCGCCAGTCATGGACGGCAGTGTATCAACGGCTATAATCTCAACCCATCTGCGCGCGATTGACATTCCCAACTAGGCAACAGCAGCGGCAATACAGCAGCATCAGAAGGAGGCTAAAAGATTTTTTGTTAAATGTTGCCAACTCACGTTTAGCTAATAAAACGGCAACATTTGGCTAAAAATACACAAAACGCATTTATTTTGCCAAGTAATGTGAACTCAATTAGTGAAAAGCGACGACGACTACAGCGGGAACAGCTGTGAAAATAGAGGAAAGCCTTTTAAGCCCATCGGGGGAAATCTTGGCGAGAAATGCGCAACGTGCGTGCCGAATTTTTGGTCGAGACGACTTTGCCACACAGAATAATTAATAAATGCAAGTCGATAAAGCAGCAGACGGAGGGACAGAGGGGGAGGAGGGCGAGAGTTGAAATCGGAGACACATATATAAGCAGAGGCGCCGCTTGGCATGCTGCTGTTGTGGCAGCAACTGTTGTTGCCGTTGCTGTTGCTGCTGGGATGACGACATTATAAACAACTCTGCAGCATGTCGTTAGCATGTCTGACTGTCTAGCGGACGGGAGTTGTTGCACAGAGTGCGTAATTGGCAAATGAATGAGAGACGCAAACGACAAGAGAGAGAGAGAGAAAGAGGGGGGAGAGAAAGAGAGACGATGATGCAGCTAAAGAGTAGGCGAAGCGAAATCTCAGTTGCATTTCAATGCGCTTAATTACGAGGGTGGTTCGGTGGCTTGGCCGCTAGGGACCTGCCACTTGTCAGCTGTATACATCTCTCTCGCTCTGTGTGTGTAGCTGCCACTTAGCCATGACTGCCACACGTGTCAACGTCAGCATTGCTTGCAACATCATTTCCACCTAAAGCCACCTACAGCCCAACTGTCCTGCTGTGGTTGTTGCTTGCTCTTCATCTTCATGCAAGTCATTGGCCCTTCGTTGCGTAAACAGTTCACACTTCAGCAAACGGTCATGGATTGCTGGCCACGCCCTTTCATGCACGCCCAAATATACTGCTAAGCCAATGCATCAGCAACAGCAACAGCAACAGCAACAACAAGGAGCGACGCCCATTTGCGCTTAATTAAAACGCTAAATGTTCTGCGGATGGTGTTGTCGTTGTCGCTTGTGACAAAAATATAAATAAAAACAACAATTAAAGCTCTAACGTGTGCATTGGATCATGCTTGCATAAGCCACAACAAAGGCAACAATAAACGATTTTGTTGCTTCAAAACATAATCAAGGTGCATACATTTGATGCTCTCCCGACGCATTCAAGTTTCCGTTGTTTACATTTATCATATTTAAAAAAATTGTGTAAATATACATAATCTTGTTACAAGTAGTACCTTGGATAGAAATAAATATTTTTTATTATTTCAACTGAGTCTCGAAAAGTGCAAAAATATTTTGAAGTTTATTTTATTTGATATGCGAGGAAGAAAAGTTTTATTTCAGTTTTAGTCATCAAATAAAATTTGAATAAATATTTAAATTATAATATTTACACTTACTATCTACATATTTTTCGATATATATTGCGTAACTGAATATTAGACGTATTCATATTAATGGAAGTCCTTTGAAGTATACTTAAATTAATAATAAGTTTAATATACAACTTTTTTGACATATTTTATCTATCTTCTAAGATTTCAATATAGATATATTTCATATATATTCAATGTTTTAGATATGTATTCCATATGTCAATATTTTAACCTGATTTTTACATGGCTATTTGAGCTACTGAGGCTACTTGGCCTATTTCGAGTCATCGCAACATTTATATACTGTACAAGTGAACTCCTATATATATAAGAATTTTAATGCATATTTGTTTTGTTTGTTTAATCCAATCAAATCAATTTCAATTTCCTGCTAAGTTCATTTTTCTGTTCATGTGCTGCTGCTTACTACAAACAAAAATGAATAATTTATATTTTAGCTATTTACTTGAAGTTTCATATTTATTAGTTGATGAACCATTGCAACACTTTCCTTGCCAATATTTTCCAGTCTATACTGGCCTGGTCCAAGAGCTAATAATGTGCATCGAACTTTATTATCAAAATTTATTAAATAAATATTCAACTTGCATTGCTGCAGAATATTTTGTCTTCAACTTTTTTAACTTTAACTAAAAACTTAATACTTAGTTTGGCAACATTTTTTATTTAACTTAAGTTTACTTTCTATGGACTTAATGGTTGCTTCAAGGTTCAGACCTTGGTTGGTTCGACTGCAACTTATGGCAGAGGTTGCAATACTTCATGTATACAGAAAAACTATCTAGATTCGATTAAACCGACTTCTGTTCCAGTAGATATACTATCTCAAGTGAAATATGAAGAATTCTAGCTGTGTAGAACTGGCTGGTACTGCTGGTTATTAGCTGCCCTCAATTGAAATTATTGTAAAATGAAGTCTGTTCAAGTGTTTGGTCAATGATCAGGCGTCAGAGTCTTTTAATTGGCAATTTGTTGTCAATTACAGGCTTAGGTTGAGGCTTA